GTAAACTATTTTAACCTCTCAATATTGCAGGAAAAAAATATTGACTTTTGTTGCAAGAGTGCCTAAAATGAGCTTGAAAGTAAGAGAAAATTATGCAAGAAAAACATTCAATTCTCCATGTTTGTGCCTTTGTGAATTTTGTTAACTCTTAGTCAGACTTTATGGATATTAGAGTCCAAATACTTGTCTTTCATATGAGACCAGAATCAGGTATGTAAACACAAGGGTTTAAAGGTCAGTACTGAGTATGTCATTTTAAAGGTTATAAGCACACAGGGGAATGTTTGCGAACAAAACAGGTACACATTGTTATTTAAAAAAGAAACTCTGAATACTTTCAATTTTTTAGGAATCAAACAAAATATGCCCCATGTGTCACTATCATTACAAAGAGAGATGCTTTATGTAATGGTTGTGTAAATGTAAGGTTATTTTTCAGCCACAGAAATAGCTGCAAACAGACAGATCTGTGAATACTCTTTAAATGACTCATGTTATTATATTGGTGTGTCGGCTTATTTTCAGATCTGATGTAACATCTCTTGTGTGGTTTCAGCGTGTGTGGAGGTGTCTGTGTAGGAGCCGGGTTCAGCTGTAGGTGGTGAGAAAATGAATGACAGCCGGATTAAAACTGGGATTCAGGCATTTCCCATCAGAGATTTGTGTCACTGCGTTTGTCTCATTAACACCAGAAACAGACGTCCCTGAGGACGATGATTATGCGGGTGAACATTTGGGCAAACACGCAGATGTTCTTTTCTTTTCTGCTTTCTTTTCGAGTTGGATGAAAAAGTATGAAATCACTTTAATGTCCGTATGATTAGAAATAAAGGTACTGCTTAAGTACTGATACTCTTGGAGGAATAACAATGATAACAAGAGACCTAGAAACAAGAGATATGTAAAAAAACAATTCATATTCATAAAAAAAGTTTCAAATTTTGGGAAATGAACTCATTCACTCTCCTGGGGGCAATTTGCCGAGAAGTTTGATACCACACAATCATATATGTGCCTTAAGCTCAAAGCAGGAGCCAGTAGCTTATTAGCTAGTTAGCATAGCATAACACAGCATGCAACAGAAAACGAAGAGCTTGGCTATGTACGAAGATAACTTAGTCAACCTGTAAACACATCTCAATTTTAATGTTATATTTCTACTTTTAATTGTACCAACCCGTAGCCATTACTCTCTTGGAATCCCCACTGGTTACATGGCCTCTGCTGAAAGCAAAGAGTTAGCCTGACATGTTACCTTCGCAAATACAAATTGACATTTTTTAGATTGCAGCTTTATTACAGATAAAACAAACAACAGTAATTAACCCTGAAATGTGCCAGAAAGTAGAGTTTTCAACCTTTTTACGAAGCCAAGCTAGATGTTTGTCCTCTTTCTTCGCTATGCTAAGCTAGCTAGCACTGCTGTATGTTTACCATTGAGACATGAGAGTGTAAAAGACCTTCGTATCCAACTTGAGGCAAGAAAGCAAATAAGCATACAAGTTGCTGACTTTGTCAACTTCAGAAATTAGGAATCCTAGATTGGGGAGTAAATCCTGCCATGAGGGATTAGTCTCCACTCAGACATATTCATAGTATGACTACACGCACCAAACCATGATGTTATGGGACAAATAAAAAAAACTTGTTGCACCATTGTTTGCAATTAAGCAAGTTAGCAAACCAGTAGTTGTTTTAGCCAACTTTGGTTTGGGCCAGGCTAGCCATTTCTCCATGTGCTGAGTCGCAGCTACGCAAATTAGCTAGCAAGCGGCCAGTGGTAGCTTCACTTCGACCACACATAATGTACAGAGCTTATTTGTGGTTTCCTAAAATAGACCAATAAATGTAAATTTGGTCATTGATGTGGCACGCAGTATTAAATAGTAAAATTACGAAAATGTAATGAGTGCAACCAAAAGCTTAAAAATAGAAGCGTACCAATATCGCTATGACTGATACTGTTTCATCAGCAGAACTAAAGAATATTTTTCCTTCAACACGCAGCAGTAATGAGTGTGTACATACAAAGTAGGAGAAATTTCTGCAGTGTGCTGCACATTAATAAAGAGATAAATATGGAGGTAGGAGGATGGAGTGTGAAAGATTAGTACAGGGCACGCGACAGGATGTTGAGATTGCATGATGGAAATGACGGTGTGTTTATTCGCCCTCAGTTTGATACGTAACACACAGACGTTAATTATCTCTTTGTCGTCTGTTTCTTTTTTCTTTTTTTTTGCTGCAGCTTTGATTGCCGCTCCCGCTGCGCACGGCTTGGATGGGGAAGACAGGAAATCTGACAACCTGTAAGCAGCTCCCTGGGAGAGCTGTGAGGAGGTTTGTGACAAGAGGGGGATGAATAGAGAGGCAGCTCTACCTCTTATTTCTGCCTCTTTCTTCCCCAGTTTGACAAACACAGCGATGTTTTTCCGCTCTTTTTTTGGGGGGCCAAAGGAATGAAAGAAAAAACACCACAAGCACCTGATTAACCTTTTGAAAACCGCCTTACAAGTAAATAACGTACATAAAATAAATACGTCAAGTCTTTCACCTTTTTCTGTCATTGAAGCTGAATCAATCAAATGTGAAGAGGCCAACCTTCACTTTTGAATCCATTATAAAAACAAGTGTTAGCTGCAGTCGAACATGTGATGTTTTTTTTTTTTTTTTTTTTTTTTTTTTACAAAGCGTACTCTGTTCAGATTTATTTTTGTCCTTGGTCATCTCTCTCCCTCCCTCTTGCTCCATCCTTTTAGCCCTTCCTACTCGCCGTTGTCAAGGGCAACCGGAGAAAAAGAGCAGAATACAGTATCAGTATCACCTGATCGACGGGGGAATCCAGCAGGTGTGTGTGCATGCCCTGTTGCCGTGCTTGTGGGGACTACACACACACACACACACACACACACACACACACACACACACACACACACACACACTAACGCAGACTCGGTGTAAATGAAGTGACTGTTGGCAGGCTCACAGTTAATTCAGCATGAATATTTAATCAACTGTAAACAGATTACTACTTCACTGAGCGATGCCAGTGCGTGTGCTGTGTCAGTGTGCATATCTGTGTTCGTCCGCCCTTGTGTCTGTGTCGCCCTCTCTCTCTCTCTCCCTCTCTCTCTCTCTCTCTCTCCCTCTCTCATGGAGCTTTATCTCTCGCTGTTCCAAAAATGAAAAGGAGATCGGAATTGAGAACAAATAAACCTGAAGGTCAAGATCCAACCAAGTGTGCAGACTCATAAAAGTGGATTGGGTTAGCATGTCTGGACAGAAGTTTGAAGTTAAACCCAAGTGTTAGAGTCCCCTCCATCTCCATCCTACATCATGCAAACTCTGAGCCATTAAAAGCTATCAGATTTAAATACACCTACTCCCAAGTGTTTTCCTTAAGCTAGTTTTTTACATACAAATGTTTTTGTTGCTGTGTTATCTCTTTAAACAAATGTACCCGTCACCCTCGCTCACAGGTAGTGGGTGTTAATGTTTAGGACGTAACCACCAACTAATTTGTGAGTTCGTCTGAAGCCTAGCGGTTCAAAATCCAATTGCATTAAAGCATTATTAAAGCATTATTAGCCTGCTAGGCTCGGTAGTTTTAGCTCCAACGTCCATATTCATACACAGTTTATCGAAATATATTTGAAGATGTTTTGGCCCAATTTTAAGTAACGTGTAATGTGTGTAATAGTGACACATGAGCGAGAATCAGAAATAATTTTATTCATCTTGGTTGTTGACAAAGACGCCAAAGACGCCAAGAAGCTCTTAAAGCCGCCCCATATTAGATAAATCGTTGTTTGACCCGACCAGAAACAGGTCGCATTTAAACATCTGAGACAGAAGCATGCGATTTGGTGCTCATTTCCATAAATCCAGAGAACATGCTGCAGCTTTCATATAACGTCCAATCAGTGACTGATTAATCACATCAGGAGGAGAGATAATCAATACAGTGAGACAATAGATTCTGAAAATAGTCATGTTGTAAGGGTATTCGTTCAGTTCATTCTTTTAAAGGCTTTATATGCGATTTTTTGATCCAGCAGATGTCGCCCTTGAGCACCAGCATGAAACCAAAACAAACTCGCGCTGCATTGTTGTGTTAGCATGCTAATGCTAGCGATCTTTATTATGCTGGTATCTTCACACTGCATGTAAATTTACCTGAAATGAGCGTGATCTAGAAACACAGTTAAGCAGTGCGTACAGTATGTTATTCTTCTTTTCTCTAGTCCCTCAATTAAACAACTTTTATACTCGAGGGGAGGAGTCAGCCGGCCGTCTAGGCGATGTAAACAAAGAAGATAGGACTTGGAAAACTCTGAAAGCATCACAGACAGTGGGTGTTACACCCATTGTAGACAGTCATGACTCACAGAGTTATTTTCAGAGGATAGACTTGATTTCTATTACATTTAAGTGTGAAAAATCACATATAAAGCCCTTAAGTCCAAAGAATGACTTTCAAAATCGGGGACTGGGAATATTGTCCATTTTGTTATTTGTTTAATAGACAGTATGTTCATTTTTTTTTTTTTACTGTTCAAATAAATAAATACTAAATACTTAATAACCATACTGTAGTTTATATAAAAATGATATATACCTTGTCACTTACAGTAGGCTATGAGATGGAGACAATCTGCAGTTAGTGTTTCAAGTAAAAGCAACATTAATGTGATATAAATCGATTCTTACTTTTTGAATCAATGCTGAACAGTGCTGTAATTCTACACCGAGCTGTTGTTAAGTGCTCTGATGCTGTGAAGTGCTCAAATTTTACTGAAAGTTGTCGAAACTTTACCCTAATTTACCCACTCAACAGTTTGTATTTTGCATCTTGTCCTGTTTTCGAGCTCTCTCTTATTGCGCGCATGCGTGTGTGCAGGCGACTCCACACGGCCGCTTTCAAATCTCTCTCGCTCTCTCTCGCTCTCTCTCTCTCTCTGTCACCCCCCCCCTCTCTCTCTCTCTCTCTCTCTCTCCTCGCCCCCCCTGCTCCCTCCTCTTCCTCCTCCACCTCCCTCCTCCTCCTCCTTCCTCCTACCTGATTCAGATCCGCTCCGACGCTATGCGTATGACCGCGTCTCTCTCTGCAAGCCGAGCACCACCGGCGAGACAGAACGCCGGCTGAAACCAGCGACCCAAAGCCGGGCAAACAGGAGCGGGAGACGCCGCTGCTGATTCAACCTCCGGCAGGGGGAGAGAAGGAGAAGGAGGAAGAAGACATCACCGGGCGTTAAGGTAAATAATAATAATCACATTTGTTCCGACACATGAGAGCGCGGAGTGCGTTTATCTGTGCAGAGGAGGAGAAGTGAGTGGCCGTCAAGGTTTTCACTGATGGACATTTTTTTTTGCGTAAAATTGAATATTGATATTTATTTGCGTCCACCGAGAGAGCGCCCACGTTAGAGAAGGACGACAGCCTGTTGTGCATCCGGTTTTATCTAATATTTTTTATTATTATTTACAGCCGGAAGCCACAAAAAAAAAAAACGTGAAACACATTTAAAACACATGCGAGGTGTGTCTGCTTTTTTTTTTTTTTGCTAAAGTTTGCTACCAGGAATAAGATGAAATGCAGACAGGTTTTTGAATAACGTGTCCACATCGTATTCAAGGAAACGCACACACACTTCTGCACACACACTCGTCACATATGGCCACTTTTCTTCATGTCATAATACCTCTGCATGCTGAAACACTCACACGGCATATGATACTACACTGTGCCAATATCCGTCTGTTGTTGCATGCAGCCTATTACTGATGAGTCCCTCTGTAATGAGCCATATGATCACCTCGGTTGTTGTCATTATCTTTCATCCTTCCAGTGGATTTGCCCTTCATGTTTCTCGTTCATCAGCATCATCATCATCATCATCATCATCATCACAAGCAGCAGCAGAAACATGATCTAAGCCCTCCCGTCACAATAAAAGTATAACAGCACCGTGGCGTTTTCTCACAAACACAGGAAGGGGAAAAAGAGGAACTTAAAAAAAAAGAGAAGTCATGGTCTCTATCTGAAAGAGTGCAAAGGTGGAGAAAGAATGCACAATTAATAATAATAGAAGAAGAAGAAGAAGAAGAAGAGCGTCCACAGAGGGAGCACCCAAAAACAAAAAAACAAAAAACTCCTGTGAGCTTTCTCTTAATCAATAATTCATCCCTCCATCTTTTGCAGAGTCCTGGATAGAGAGTGTGGCGTCCCGGAGCCGGCGTTCCTATCCTCTCCTCCTCTCTTTCATCCACCTAAGACGAGCTTTTCACCTCCTCAACACTCTGCTCTCTCCTCCTCTTCTTCCTCCTCCTCCTCCTCCCACTCTTCCTCTTTTTTTTAAATCCAGAAGTTCTCCTCCCTCCTCCTACCTGCGTCTCCTCGCTCTCTCTTGTCCTCTGCTGCTCTGAGCCCGCCATGGCGTCCAAACTGAACCCAAACGTCCTGTACGTGGCGGAGCACGGCGAGTCGCTGGGATCGTCCCAGGCCGACTCGGAAAGGACTCATAATGTAAGTACAGTTCGGTTTGTGTTTCAGCGCTTCATAAGGAGTGTAGTGGTGCCAGATTTCCCAGACAGGAAACGCACGGTCGTTGCACATCTTAGTTGTTAGTGTTGTTGTTGTCTTCATTTTCTAACCACTTGGATTGTCCTTCAGCCTTAAAGGAAGAGTGGTAACTTGTTGGGCATGACCTCAGAGCTCAAACAGTAAGGGTAAAATCATAAAGGGCATTGACAATTACCTTTGGAAACTCCCACAGACACAGACGTTGAAGTCACATCTACTGTTATGATGTGTATTTCAGTCGTCTTGTCATACACAACAAAAAACACACTCTGCATCACCACTAAAAAAAACAAGCTAACTAGCAGCTGAATCAAACAGGCAATGTCTGCTGTTGCCATGGCGTTTTCAGAAGCTGTCAGTTTGTGCAGGCACAGTCAGGAGAAAAAGGCCGCGGAGTCGGGGGAAATCAAACATGCCGGAAAAATCATCCGACAAGTCAGGGAGCAAGCTGGTCAGGCTGTGATTGGACGACGTGTGCTCCCCTGTATAGTGCGGGACTAACGACTAAATCGGACTTAAACTGTACAGTGTACGCTGGGCTTAAAGGAGATCTTCTTTAAACTGTTTGTTTCTGATTTATGGGCGGGTTTGACCGATCTCACAAGTGTTCAAAATATCATAAAAGTAAACTCCTGTTGCTATAAACTCAAGACTCAAGTTTTTACAACTACACACCTGCCTTATTCCACATAAAAACTCAGATTAAAATATTTCTGCAGGAGAGAGACATTTACCTCACAAAACTAAATACTTAGGCTGAAAAAAAAAAGTTGACCCGTACCATGCTGAAGCACGATCGCCCCCCCTCTTAATTCCCCCGCTGGCCTGCGCTCACACTGCTCCAGGACTAACTGGGCCTTAGCACGGTTACCTCTTGTACATAAGGTTGTAATACAACACATGCATGGCTTTATGTAATTATGAGGCGTGCTCAGTTTACAAGACAGGTGAAAATGAAATAAAAGGGATTCAGGTCGAGTCTGTGTCCGCACATTAGCCAACAACACAGAGATCCTGACTGCTACTTCACTGACTTTTTGGCTTATTTTGTTCATGTTCGTCAGAAAAATCCAGAAGACTCAGAAATGTTCTCCATAATGGAGGCGGGGATCGATTATACTTCACGGTCACGTTTTGTACCCGTGCTTGTGTTGGTGCATGAGCACACCTCTCCCATCTGTGCCAGGTACCATGCTAAAACAGAACGGAGCACTCACACTAATCAGACAAACTGGACTTTAGGCGGTTGGACGTTCTTGAGCACGGTACGGATTGCCGTCCATATCATTGATTTGATTGAAGCATCGATGGACTCAAAGTCAATTGTTGTTGTTTTGTTCAGAGCTGCCGAGGAAACATCTTTCAGATCATCATGTGTGTAAACGTCTAGGACCTACAGCAAGTTTAACATGTCAAACTGTACAATTTGAAGCAGATACATGAAGAAGTGGAAGCTCCTGTTGGAAGTCGTATGTGCTACTTGAGTCAACAATCCCAGGAGTTTTGAGATCCATATTGTAGCCATCGCTCTGCATTTGAAGACACTTAGAGAGGTTTAAATCTTACTTGACGTGATGATGGTTAAACTATATTATTAGAATTTTAGTTTCCCATTTCTTTTGCATTACTAAGTAGCTTGTTTTAATCAAAGACACTCTTACATTTTTGTGCAACATCGTTTTTTCCCCCCTAACTCTTTGGTGTAATATCGACCCAGTTTGTAGCTTCCGGGTTTTTGATGGTTCAGCGTTTTTAAAGACGTTTACTTTATACAGCTGCAGATCAACTAACAGACATCAGACCAGCAGCACGTCAACCAAATCACACACACAATCCTGACTTAAAAAGCACGCAACAAAAGAAGAGATTACAGGAATCCATCTAAAGCTTTTTCCACTCGACATTTACAAATTCTACAACTCACTTAGCGGACGCTTTTCATCCAAAGCGACGGACATCAGCCGAAACCTTGAAAAGTAGGGAAATTAAGACGTTTTTTATCACGAGATCTGGTTGGTAACTACCTCAGAAGTCAGGAATTTTGTTTTCTTAAAGGCTACAAAATGTTGAGTTGGAGTAATATAAGATAATAATCTCACAAAAGTTTTAAAAATTCTTCCCCCCCCAGGCTGGAGAGGCAGGAGAAGAGTCATCAGACAGCGACGGGGAACAAGAGGAGACGTCGCACAAGCTGATTCGTAAAGTGTCGACGTCGGGACAGATACGGGCCAAGGTAGGATAACGCTGACGTAAAGTGTGTGTGTGTGTGTGTGTGTGTGTGTGTGTGTGTGTGTGTGTGTGTGTGTGTGTGTCTTGTATCAAGCATCAACATTCAACACAAGATGAGTCAGAAAAGTGGAGTAAAATCCATCTCAGGATTTTAATTTACAACTTTTTATTTCACCTTCTTCCATTTTACATGTCTGCTTTTTCAATCTGTGGTTTGGCTTTGGAGCCCCCCCCCCCCCCCCCCCCTTCCCCTCCCCCTCTTTAACTTTATACATATTAAAACAGGACTTCTTGAAAGGTAAAAAAGCCACATTAACAAACCAGGGAGGGATCAAATATTTAAGCCCGTGGAAGTGGCTCTTTACTTAGTCTGAGAAAGTCGTGTGAAAGTCGGGGGAACTTTTTTTTTTTTTTTTTCATCCACGCTTGGGAACCTGATTAAACATTTGAGCTGCTGACTTATTAAGGATGTAAAAATGAACCTCGCCGCAGAATGGACGTTTGGTTTGAAGGACACTTTTTAAGATGTCTTGCAACACATAAAATCATTTTTTCACTTCTTTCTCTATTTCCTCTGTTCGATTTCTGTTTCATTTTGACCACCTCTAAAATCAGACCTACTCTTTTTAGATCCCCTTTTCTCGACACCTACTTCCTGCCTACTTCCTGTCTGAATCATTTCCTCCTAAAGCGACCTTGCTTGTGTTTTTACAGTAAGACGTTGACGCTCTAGATATTAGCCTCTTACCAGCAAATCCACTCACACACACACACATCTGCCTTCTTACTTATTGATGAGCTAATATCTGCTCTGAGAAATGCTTTTTTTTTTTTTTTCCTGCCAATACGCACAGATGACAACCGCTCAAATGATTCTCATGCACGTGTTGAAATCGTTAGCCATTACCTGCGTTGACCGTCAACAATAAATCACGCTCCGATCGATAAGTGAGAACAGAACACCCGTCGAGTCATCCAATAATGGCACGTTTGTTCCTGGAGCAAACAATGGGATTGGATATCAGTCTGGTATTGATCAGCTAATCTCCTCGTACACTGCCGTAATGTAGTGTTAAGGGGTTGATGTGCACGTCCATATAAGGGCATGTTGACACCATACAGGGTTGCTATGGTTTCAGATAGGAAGTGAGGGAAGATGATTATAGAAAGGCCTGACCACGAGGCCCATTTTTTAACTTGTTCTGTTCTTTTGTTTGTTTATTTGTAGTCAAGGGCAACTCTTTTTTTTTTTTTCCACACACAACTTTATTAATCTGGATACGTTTAACAATCACATCTTTTAAAGAGGGATGAAACAATAGCAGGGCTTAAAGACGTTAGGGAAAAAAACTGACTTTGCCTTTTTTTTTATGTGATTTTGCAAGAGAAGAAAAAAAGATGAATGCAATGCCTTTTTTTGTTCATTAAATAAAATGTCTTTAAGTCATTTTTCTGATTTCATATCAGTCCTTCTTTGATCACAAACTGGCTCTAGACGTCTTACAGTGTGTCTGACAAACACACACACACACACACACACACAGAAGTGGAGGGAGAGCAGGTGGAACAACACGTGTCGTCATAAACTTGACAAACAAACCTTTGGCTTGTCGTTGTGTTACTTTCATGTCATCAAGCGTTTGTAATGATGTTGTGTTTAGTTTGCATGTATCATCTGATTAAACCAAAAGCTCACCGTGTTGAGCTGCCTGGGACTCAAAGTCAACAATCAGCGGCACATCCTGCTAAGCTAATAGCCCTTTACGATCCGTATATGTGGCCACAGAATGAACGAGCCAATGCCAAAAATAGCGGAAATACGTTAATTTTAAATCCACCTCGCTTAAATTAGCGTCCGCCTCGAGCGTCGATTGGATTTTACGATGATTTTTCACAATTTTCTAAATCTATAAAGACACGTGAGCAAGGTCAGTTTATGAACACGTTTGATCCTTTTTATTTTTAAATTCTCCGACAATGAAATTATTTTTTCAATAAATCTAAATTTGAGGTTGAATAGTTACTTATAAAACAACGCACGCCATCTGCTGGCTAAAAAAGAGTATTGCACTACACATTTTTGTCCAATGGATAACATGGTCCATATTTGTATAGATTTTTATTGTAAGACATCAGCGCTTCTTTGTGTGTGTATACAGTGTGTGTGTGTGTGTGTGTGTGTGTGTGTGTGTGTGTGTGTGTGTGTGTGTGTGTGTGTGTGTGTGTGTGTGTGTGTGTGTGTTGATTAGGTGGGGTTTACCTACAGTCATGTGACTTAGATTAAACTCTTCATCGACTACAGGATTATTCTTTAGTATCAACAATGGGCCTGAGCGGATTACGGGGTTGGTCTATCCCCTTGTTTGTTTGTGATCATGTGGGTAAGTGCCTCTATTTACTGCCACGTGTGTGTAGTGTGTGTGTATTGTGTGTGTATGTGTTGTTTTTCTTTTGCATTAAAACCCCTTTCATGCTTCCCCTGCCTCTCCTCGTCTTGTCCCCTGTCTGTTACCGTACTTGTCAGAGCAGCAGCCTTTTAGCGCACTTGTTAGGAAAGGGCGCTAAATCTTATCAGCTGTGACATGACATCTCGACACCGTTAGATTAATTCAGCCCCTCACCCACAAAGTCCCCAAATAATTAAACACAGATGCAGCGATAGCTCGCTGAAGACCGCAGACGTTCCTGTTTGCTGTAATTAAATATCTTTGGGTTTCGGAGACGAGCTTTTTTGATACTCTGGAGTAGAATTCTATCTCATGTTTTCAGACGGAATATTTATCGGGTTTTAATTAAAAATAGAGGTTTTTAATGAAACTTGCTCCATTTTTTGATGCGGTGTCATGTTCAGGAAATGACACTGAACGCACCACAAATCCACAAACCCTAAACTGCCAGGGTTACACGATAAGCAGGTACTCACATTGTAAACGACAAACGCTGTAATCGGCGTGAGTGTAACTTTGAAGTTTGCTAATTGGCTGGCTCTGGAAAACTCTTAAGACTTGTTTGAGGCTTTTTTTTTCTGCTCAAAGTTTTTTCTGCTCAAATTTTTGAGGGGAAGCAGTTTGGGTTTTTTGACCTTGGGTAAGATATTAGTAAGGTTTTGCACTTGTTTCAAACCATTCACTTGACTGTCTGTTAAAGTGTTAAGAAAAAGAAGGAAAAAAAGGTTAAAAACATGGAGACATGCTCATATCAAATTATAATTTTGTAAAACATGTTGAATGTCTAATAAAGACAGAGTGAAGCAGTGCGATCTATATTTGGATAAAAGGCTATAAACTGTGCTCCTTGTCGCTCTGAAAGTTGAACTTAGCAACAGATACAAAACAAAGACATGGACACCAGATGTCTGCGTATCCTTATGACTTATCTGAAACGTGAGAAAAAAAACAACAACTTGGTCCTAGTTTCGTTCCACATTTACAGTTCACTTTTATGGTTCGGCCCCTGATTTTATAACAGCTTGCACTTATCCCACTTGACTGTCCACTTCAGTTTAGGGTCTAAATTTAGTAAACGGGAGGTCCTCATGGAGACAGAAGCATGCGATTTGGTGCTCATTTCCATAAATCCAGAGAACATGCTGCAGCTTTCATATAACATCCAATCAGTGACTGATTAATCACATCAGGAGGAGAGATAATCAATACAGTGAGACAATAGATTCTGAAAATAGTCATGTTGTAAGGGTATTCGTTCAGTTCATTCTTTTAAAGGCTTTATATTATTTTTTGATCCAGCATGAAACCAAAACAACTTGCGGTGCATTGTTGTGTTAGCATGCTAATGCTAGCGATCTTTATTATGCTGGTATCTTCACACTGCATGTAAATTTACCTGAAATGAGCGTGATCTAGAAACACAGTTAAGCAGTGAGTACAGTATGTTATTCTTCTTTTCTCTAGTCCCTCAATTAAACAACTTTTATACACGAGGGGAGGAGTCAGCCGGCCGTCCTGGCGATGTAAACAAAGTGAAGATAGGACTTGGAAAACTCTGAAAGCATCACAGACAGTGGGACTCTGGTGTTACACCCATTGTAGACAGTCATGACTCACAGAGTTATTTTCAGAGGATATACTTGATTTCTATTACATTTAAGTGTGAAAAATCACATATTAAGCCTTTAAGGGAAAGTAACAGATATGGCCTTGGTTCTCAACTGGTGGCTCGAGACCCAAAAGTGGGCCGTGTAGTTGTTCGAGTGGGTCGCAGATGTGTGACAGGGGAAAAATAGACCCTGACTGATTTTTAAGGCCGATACCAATATCGATAATGAGGAGTAATTCAGTGACACTCAGATGAAATGCTATTTGGCTGGTAAAGAAATCCAGTAATATCTATCTAGTATATACCAATAGTAAGTGGATATGCAGGTCTGTCGGGCTCTAGTCAAAAATTCTATGCTGCACTTTTTTTTAAATTAGTAGTAATAAATAGTTTTAATATGTTATGATTTATCCACTGCATGATTTAAAACTGATGCTTAAAAAGAGAAGCTGGAAAAGAAAATGTACTCCCGTGTGTGGAGGCTGTGGTTCTCCAAGGATCGGGTCCAACCTGTAGCTCTTTTCCTGCATGTCATTCCCCACTCTCTCTCTCTCCCTGATTTCCATCTCTATCCACTGCCCTGTCTCTCCATTGAAGGCACAAAAAGCCCCAAAAATAAATCTTAAAAAAAACAAAAAACTTTCAAAGATAGCTGAAGTTCTTCTGACCGGTCAGGGAGCAGCTGATCGGGGCATGATCGGTCATCATGCCCCTTCGTACACTTTATTGGAACAACGCGTGATCAAGCTGAAATTCAGCCTGACAGCCGAATCAGTCGTGGGTGTGACTCAAAAATCCGGTCTAAATTGGTCTGAAGTCGTGCAGTCTGTTCCCCGGCTTTTGCTTTAGCTAAATTTGTGAAGATGACAAATGAGAAATAAAGAAAGAGCTTGTTAGTCCGCTCGGTTAGAAACACAGACTAGCCTGTTTCATGAAGCTTCAAGTACT